TAAATATGGAAAAAAAATCATTTGAAGGAAAAAGCTCTATCTTCAATTTTTTAGTTCCAGGAAATCGACGAAAAAATTCAAACTTTTGAAATTTTCTAAAATTTAGAGTTAAACCCGAAAATCCATATGCCATCTTTATAACTGTACTTTATTCTTACAAGAAATGTAATGAAACCATTTGGAGCCGTTTTTGAGACTATTTCGAAATTTTCCTTGGGCTTTCATGTAGAGTACCCCAAATTTTAAAGAATGTTTTTCAGAATCTCACAGTTTATTCTCAAGCCAGGTCGTCAGGCGTTTCCTCAATTTAGATAAAATCCTACGTATGGTTCAGGCGCTAGTGGTATTCATAGACGGACGGACGGACGGACGTTTAAAAAAACTTTTACAGTATCAGGGGACCCCAAAACGTGTATTCAAGTGGAAATCTCGAAATCCATTTTCCACGGCATTACATAACTCTCTCTATAGTATGTATATTACTCCGTATATACATATGGGGACGAGGACATAACTGGTGGGGCTATACAATGGCATTCGCTCAGTAAAGCTTTTAATTTTCGGGATGGGGACTGGCTTTACGGTTTTGCCTCATCCTCTTGCCAGCTGCCACCTATCACCACGAACTCTAAGTACATTTTTTTAATTTATTTTTTAGGATTTCTAATAGTATAACCAAAATACTACGTTATTAATATTAAAGAAGAAGTAGAAACCTCTTTGGCTGCTTCACAAGGGCTAGTCCAACCCCTGTGAAGTGTCCCAATTCCTCCCTAACCCTAATTCCTTTCCAAATCTGGCCGCTGGATAGTGACCCAGGAGCGCGTAGTAGGAGGCGCCTACGCGAAGATGCTACCTGGCAGTTAACCCCATTTATTTCATAAACGGCAAGAGGAATAAATTTATTTTGTGGGTAATAAATGAGCACTAATTTCATTTGGTTTGATGCGCATTTGCTTTAGTGGTTGTGTCAACATGACACATCCGCCTGTCCCACCTCTGGAGAACCGACTTTGCAGAAGGATGTGTGGGGGCGTAAATCGTGCACGCCTTCAAACAGTCCCCAAAGCCTCCCAAGGCGCCCTCGCGGGAACAATGAAGCGGGTGGCGTCGCGAGATCCCTCTGAAGCCCTTAAGAAACAATGAACGAGAATAACGTCAATCAATTGGGCGTCCGCTGCTGCGGCAAGCGGCGGAGGACTCTCGCTACGCGAAGCGGAGGAGGGCGTGCGCGCCACCGCTAGCAGAACACAGCTTTAAATGGTAGCCTTCCCACTGCGGCCACCGGTCGCTGCGTTTTACCTGCTGCGGTCCCTTTGTCCGTCGTCGCCGGAGGGTCGGCGAAGAGCCCTGTCGCTTGACGGACGCGCGCTGCCGTGGCGGCGTGGGAACGCACCCGTGGGAAAGCACCCAACTCAAGTCGTAACGATAACTACATTCTTGCAAGGGATCAATGTTCATCGATAAGTATAACACGACGGACTCTTACTAACGTATTACAGCCAGCTTTCGTAATCCCCTGAGCCACATTAGTCAAATTTTCGGCACACATCAGGCCCCTTGGCACTTTAGAAATGACTTTCCAAAGACAGTTGAAAATAACTCGTTTAAACCTACAAGTGTTAATAAACCGTAACGAGTCTTACAATTGTGCTCATACAAATTTTATTTTACAATCTAAATAGATATAAAAAAAAGAAATTAAACAGTTAAATTTCTCGGGTTCAAGAGGAACCAATATCAATATTCAAAGTTTTGCAAAATATTTGTTTTTTTACATCAGGGAAATGACAAAACAATATTAAGCCACTGCAAATCAATATGAAATTATGAGGCAGGATCGACTGTGGATGGTCTTTCTTGTTTCGAATGGTTACGAAACACTTGTGAAAATTCCGGTCTATGTCGATTGTAATTGTTTCGCCGCTCGTTGCAGGTGGCGCTGCCCGACTTCT